TCAATATCTCAGCAACAAAGCACCATGGGGATGAACCAACTTAGGGTATTTCACTACTCACTGAGGTCTACAAGATACAAGTAGTCCGAGTTCAAAAGCGATTTATAACCTCAAGAGGTTCCCTCGTTAGAGAAGGGAGAATGGAAGCGCTGCCACGGTTCCATTGTTTGATTCTATTGGACAATCATTATATTCCACTCGTTAATCCGTATTCTTATTATTATCAAAAACATTATAATCACTTGTTATACCTCAACAAATGGCTTGTACTTCATTAGAATATTATATATTCGTATATTGAAGAACCAAGATATCCGATAGATTTCTAGAGATCTGATTGGAATAAGACCACGTACCAATTTCGTTTCATTTTTATTTAGCTTAAATCTAAGCAGGGAAACAGGAAAAGCCCCAGGCTTGTCAATACTGCTCCCAAAAATCCTTCCAAATATGAAAGTACAAAAAAAAGACAGGGTACAATAAACAGCAAGTAAGTTAGAAGAACCGTTTTGAACACCCAATGGAACAATAAACATTAGCCATAATCATGTCGAAGGTTATCATGGGCAGTTGAATTCGTAAGCATCCTGTCTGTGCTCGCAATAAAGACTTTTGACACAAAAAGACCTTTTTTTATTTAGGCATTGTGAAACACATCCACATCTTTGGATGTGGATCCGTCACATACAGGAAAGTGAAGAGTCGACAATGTCATGATACGAACAAGAACAAGCACAACAACGTACCACACGTCCAGGAAAGAGAAGAACTGTGAGTAATGATCTCTGATTAACTGAAGCAAAGAAGAACTGTTCCAGTGGACGCTTGGATTTAGAAGATTATTAAGCAACATTACGATCGTTAAGCTACCGTTGTATAGTTGTGTTAGATAATGATTCTAATTCTAAAGATGATGATGCATGTGAACCTAAAATATAACTGTCTTGTTTCTTTTTGTGTCTCTACAGTAGCCAACCATTCCTAATTAAAGAATGATTCGAAATTATAAACAATGTACAAAGTATGTGAAAAGATTGACCGCTTTTCTACTACAAAAATTTCATTTCGAAATTGAGACCACTTTTTAAATCTAATGAATAATCATCAAAAAAAGAGGTCTTAATCCAGAAGCAGCCCGTGAGACATGGTAAAATCAATTAAATTAAAGTTTTCACTGCTTATGTAAAGCAAACGATGAAACACAATTGCATTAACTATCGGTGATACAAAGCTGAGGTATTTTATGAAACAAAATACTTTTTAGGCTGAAAAGTGAAATTCAGCAGAAGCATAAAAATGGGAACTCTGATTCATGCAATACATCAGTCGTCGGTGAGCGTATTTCGTCGTGATGATCTTGCATAAGTGATATTTTCTGCGGGTGTTTTCCTGCTTAAATTACTCACCAACATACAAGAATTACTCCGTTTTACATTGCTCATTATGGAAATGAACTGATAAGTGTAAAAAAGCATCACAATCTGCTGATAAAAGAGAGTAGTGTGAAGGTTGTTTTACTTTTATTATATCAAATTATGGCCTAATACAATCCCCGATTTTGTATCCTTTACTTTTCTATTTCTGTAGTCATAAGAACAACAAGATCTTTCAGAAGCTAGAAGGAAAAATTTTGAAACTCTCTGTATAATCGAAAGAGTTGTTTTAATCTAGACGAACCGAGTGGTTCTTCGAAGGAATTTGTTATAATGATTCGCCTGAAGCCGTTCAAATTTAAAAGCAAAGATTCTTACACTTATGCTGATTGATCTTTTGTGTGTTAGAATATCGGAAAACAATAGCATAAAAAAACAGTTTTCGATAGAATTGCAATTTTTATACTGTGGAAGCTGATGCTACATGTATCATACATTGCTAATCCTCTATCACTTACCTAACCAATCGGGCGCTTTGTGGTGTTCAATGTAGATGGGTACTATTGGTTTTTGTAAATGATCGATAGCATGCGTTATTTCTTGACGACATGACCGACTTTCGCAATATTTATCCGATATTAGACATAATATGACATTTGCTTTCCTCATACCGATAGCTATTTTCTCCCACAAATCACCTGCTTTGCACTCATTGAAATCGATCCAGACATCAAATTGACTCAAATGTTTCAATAGTTTTTGGCAAAAATCTTTGTTGTGGTGAGAATAGCTAATCATTAGACTCGGTTTATCATTTGACTCTACTAGTGTTTCTTCGAGAAGTACTTTATCAGCAAGGCCGAGATTACAGAGAATACCGTCGGCTGCTTGTTTCACATTTGACATATGCTTTGGTACATACTGTTGAACGAGGCTGCTGTCGACGTTTTCATCCTGCCCTAGACTTTTTATTGTCTGAACAAGTTTTGGATGTTCTTTTAACTTGAGCTTGTATTGCTCGTGTAGTGAAATACTCCAGACGATGTTGAACGCTGCCGTGCATGTTAGCTGTTTTAGTGGATCATTACTGAGAAGAGCGTCCCGAAAGCGTACCAGGAGATCGCAGAAAAAGATGATTGTTGGTAATTTTAGTTCAACTTGTGAATGTTTCAATATATATTCGACAACATTATCATCAACAAATAGTTTTGCGAATACGACTAATAGTTCTGATATATGACAGTCTTGAGAACGAAAGTTTTCGTCATCTGCTGCCTCGCTAGTCATTGCAAGTAGCTGATCCAAGACGCTGTTTACTCGACGGCTATCTTGTTTTATCTGTTCGGTTGTAGCCAGCAAGGCCACTGTCATGCAACACACAACGTTCAGTTCTATGTTACTCGTAACTCTGGAATCTTTCTCATATTTTTGCATTATTGTGTAAGCGTTGTATTCATTTAACTTATCAGCTCCATCATCATGTCGAGCCATATTGTAAATAATAGTTATGATTGCTTCAAAACAATGATCGCTCACGACTGATACTGACAACCAATTTAGAACTACTTCTGGATAGCCAGTTTTTATGAAACTTGGTATGAACACGGTTTTATCCGATAGGTTCCAGATGAATGCAAGAATCTTATCTGTAGCAAGTCCGCGTGATGGTAGACGATCTTTGATCGCAATACTGGCTAAATATGTATTTGGACATGATTGGAAACATGAGTCAACGTATTCAAGAAGTATTGTGAGTAACGCCTCATGACGTTGTCTGAAATTGGAAAGAATTTTTCTTTTATAGATCCCTTTATGTAAGGTGGTGCTGTCTCAGACGGTTTGTTCAAAAAAATTTTTTATTGTTTCATTTTATGGGAGAAGAGCAAAAAATTATGTTGCAAAACGGGGACAGAGTCTCAAGTCTTACTTATACAACTGAACTTGTTTAAGGCTGTTCACCTGCAATATTTCAGCTTTACCACTATCCACTTCAAAATATAACAACCGTGGCTGTTCTTAGAATAATTTTTGATAGAAAGCAGCTAGAGAGCTCCGATTTCAGCCACATGAAAGAGAAGACTTGGGAACATGCTCTTGCAAGCAGAATAATTTTCAGAAAAGCTTTTCAGAACTCAGACTATGTATAATTTCAATAGGATTGTATTAATTTCTTTTATATGGGCTGGTAGGCCAGCGCCCTGTGAAGATGATAATCTTCATGTGTTTATTTAACAGAAAAAGATAACTACTCAATTCTCCTCAACACATCAAAATATAGTCATATATATATATGTAACAATAATAGGGAGAGGAATGTAAAACTACGTGAGGAACTGAACTCAAATTTTTTGTAAAACTTGCTTTTTGCTAGACTTTTAGAACTTTTTCTTAAAGCAGATTTTGTCACGAGACTCAGCATGATCGATATCTATACTCTATCAGTTTTCATGGCTATCAATAGTCACCGCATGCCAGTCCTGAATGTCAAAGGAAATCCAATACCACGTCCGAACCACGGGAAATTAAGGTCTCTCTTAATTCCCGTTTTGAAGAGGGGGCGCTGGCCTACCAGTCCATATAAAAGGAATTAATACAATCCTATTGAAATTATACATAGTCTGGGTTCTGAAAAGCTTTTCTGAAAATTATTCTGTTTGCGAGAGCATGTTCCCAAGTCTTCTCTTTCATGTGGCTGAAATCGGAGCTCTCTAGCTGCTTTCTATCAAAAATTATTCTAAGAACAGCCACGATTGTTATATTTTGAAACAGATAGTAGAACGACTACTCTTTTCTTCACATTCCTTTTATCATCTGAAATCCTTGTTGTGAGCTACATTACATCACTCTGTAAGCGCAAATTAGTGTTCACCTCAAAACACCTCTCTATAACATCAGATCTCTTCGAATAGGCAATGGTTGCTAGACGGAGAACAGAAGAGGATGTGTGTATCGATACCCACTCAAGACTATTAACGGGAAATACTGCATAACTGCATGTTTGTGAGCCGATAATTAATAACAAATTTACTAATGTTGTGTAGATATATGCTCGTGATGAGAGAATCTGGTTTTTAAAATATATCATAATATTGGGTGATTCGAGTAGATTGATAAACGTATAAAACGTTTTGTATGCAAAATCTGCATCGCTTGTGCGCAAAGCATAAATTCGATCGCAAACAACCGTAAGAGGATTTAAACAATCGATAAAATATTTACGACTGTTATCATTTGAATAAAAATCATCGTCGCCTATCAGGTCAATTAACTCTAACATGATAATTTTGAGAGTATCCAATACGGATGTTGGATTGTTGAAGTTTTTGTCACCAGCTAATTGTTCACACTTTGCTGATAGTTCAGTAAGTCTTTTTTCTACACCATTTGAACGCTTGCTATCGTCATCGGCTGCAATTGTATCTATTCTAACTGGAACTAGTTCGTCCATATCAATATTTTCTCTTACTTCATCTTCATCTGGCGCCTCCTGTGCGGAAAATTGTGTTGACATGAATAATTTTGGACTATAAACAAGACAACCATCCTAGGCTTTGATTCAAACAGAATTCTCTTCATTTTCAGTTGTCCGGGTGTTATTTTCTGTAGTTTTCGCGTAAAAACTTTTTGAAAAAAAGAACTTTGCTGAAGATGTGAACTCTATGTATATTAAGTAGCATTCTTCCAAAGAATATATTAGAAAACATTGAATATTGTTCTAAAACTACTTTGCAGGATTTAAGACTTAGCAAGGATTGGGCGATTCTATTTCCTGTGAATGAACTTATTCTTTTCTTACATTACTTACACTAGGTGGATTGGCAACGTAAATTTTATCTTGTTAAAATGTACCGCAAATAAACTTTGTAATATTTGATTTTTTTCTTGGTAGCGAAGGGAGAAATGTAGAAGTAGGAAAACCAACTTATAACTTTTATTTTAAAGCATAATATTCATGCAATACTCGAAGCAAAGGTAAAAAACGATGCGGAAGAAATAGTACGTTACTGTTTAACTAAGCAACATTAAATAACAGAGAAAAAGAAAAGAAAAGAAAAGAAACAAACGATAATAATAGAACTGCGACAAAAATCATTTCTTTTCTTTTGAAATGAAATTTTTTTCTTTCTGACGTTTTTTCTCTGTTATATAGTGTGAAATATATCAAACACGCTATTTTCCTTTTCTGTGCGTATGTTCTCCAATCGTTCTCTTTACACAAAAAGACAATGTGACCGCAACGCAAACAGAGAATGAAGAATTCTTCGTTCTCCTCTCTTCACGTTATTTTTCAGTAAACTTGTGTATAAAGGCAACGAGCGGAAACATGCACAGAAAAGAAAAAAAACACTGTTTCGTTTATTTCACACTATATAACGGAAAAAATCCTGTGAGAAAAAAAAAATTTCATTTCAAAAGAAAAGAAATGATTTTTGTCGCAGTTCTAATATACCAGTATTGCACTATATTCAACAGTATGAAACACATTTCGTTCACTTTTCTCTTCTTTGATCTTCCATCTTATATATTTTTCTAATGTGCTCGTATATGTTGTGGTCAGACTTGAAATTCGGTCAAATTTAAAATTTGCCCGGGCAAAACTGAAATTTCAATTTTCACCGGTCAAACTTAAAATTTTAGTTTTGACCAGAAGAAAATTTTTGGGCAAACTTAAAATCCGGTCAAATTTAAAATTTAACCAGTCAAACTTGAAATTAAAGTATCGCCTTTTCACATTACAAGAACGTAGATAAGACTCGCAAAATTTTTTTAATTACCAATGCCAGCTCGCTGCGATGGATGCGTCATTCAATTCGTGGCATGGCTGTCGAGGTGGTCTGATGGTGTTTTTTTGGTGGACTCATTCACAAATAATGTGAATGGACCCTTTTTTTGTTTTTTATAAAAAGAATAGACTTTACTTCCGCGATTCTGCAGATCATGTTTTGTACATGCATGAAGCGGCTGATAAATTTCAATTTCTTCTATAGTATTCTTATTTCTCTTTATAGTTAAGTGAAAAAAAGAAGAAAGACTATACACAACTATTACTTTCTAGATCGAACAAAAAAGAGATACATGACGAACAAGTGGTTAATAATGCTTTTGTTGGTACTCCTTGATCGATTTATAGAATGACATGAGGTATAAAGTAGCACCAAGACAACCAGCCACCTTTATGTGGTGAAGTGGATAAGTATTCTGCCTCAGCAAATAAGATATTATCAACCAACTGTAGATAGTTATATATCTCATTTGCTGAGACAGTAGAAACTAAGAGCATGGTTTTATCATGAAAAATCACATTTTTAGTACTGGTTCTCTATCGGTCATACCCGAATCCAAAGTCTTTGGAACCTCGCCCTAAGGAACGAATTGAATGACGCATCCATAGCAACGAGCTGGCATTGGTAATTAAAAAAATTTTGCGAGTCTTATCTACGTTCTTGTAATGTGAAAA